CTCGCCCGGCCCGAGGACCCGCTCGAGCTCGCCCGCCAGCCGCCGCTGCGGGTCCCGGTCGCGGGGTCCGCAAGGGCCGTCGAGCTCGGCGGCAGAACACCCCGGGCCAGAGCGCCCTTCACCCCACCCGACCCAAAGCCTGGAGGGGTTGGTCAGCCCACAGATGACTGAGGGTGGGTAGACAGACAGACAGATGCAGGATAGACAGACAGATAGATGGAGGACAGATGATAGATGGATGGATAGATGATAGATTGATGACAGACAGACAGATGATGGACACACTGATAGATGGATGATACAGTAGCTGATAGGTAAATGATAGCCCATCACATAGATGATAGGTAAGATAGATGATGGATGGATTATAGATCGTGGATAAAATAGACTGATTCATGATAGATAATAGTGTTTGGCAAATTGGAAACTTAAAACAGACCAAGTGTCCCGGCCTCCGGGGAACCTCCACCGCAGGCCCTGCGCCCGCCCCACCCGCCGCATTCCCCGGATCACTGAACCACAGCAGACAGATGGGTGGAGGCCTCAGCAGCCTGGGAACTCTGTGGCCTAACCCAGGTGGCTCCTTGTCCCTCAGCTCCCAGCTGCCCCACACTGCCAAGTACCAACAGGCGGGGCACACAGGGCCCTGGGGCTGGCCCCGAGGTTGGCTGCCGGAATCAGGTCCACTGCAGGAGACCGATGGCTTCCTCTGTCTGTGTCCACTGACTCGTGCATCACCAGATCTACAGTGTCTCTGAAGGAAGAATGGCAAGGTGAATGACATTTGTCAGGTTTAGAAAGGCAACAGTTTTGAGACTGAACTTCGGTATGGCGCCTAAGTTATGTTTTCCTGGTGTTTAAAAAAAAGGCACTAATTCACAAGAAGTACAAGGAGCAAGAATGAATCCAAAGTGATTCAGAACTAGAACCTTCACCAGGGAAGTTTGGTGCGCGGGCAGGTGCGGGGAGCAGGCCCGGGGGAGACCCGTGCCGCGGCTGCCGCCAGCCAGTCTCAGCCCTCCACACACACCCCACGGGCCAGTAGGTCTGGACGGACCCCTGGCGCGAGTTGTCACTTGCCTTAGTGTTTCAGAGCGTCTGCCTTTGCTCAGCCCAGGTTTATCCACCAGTAATTTGGAGGAGTGTTTTTAGTACCTTCCAACGGAACCGTTTCTCATTGCTGTTCTCCCCGCCTGGGAGTGCCCACACCCGGCCCCGAAGGCTGGGACAGCTGGCCT